TCTAAAAAGCAATGATTCTGAATCCCTTCCTACGTTTTGAAACCTTCCAGTCTCTGTTCTCTTTGGCAGAACTTCATGCTTCTTGGCTTTAGGCAGGCAATTTGTCAAAAAAGCTTGCCATTTTGGGTTTCTTCTCCTTTATTTCTTGTTTCCACCATCCACTCAGCCTTCAAAATCCCAAATAAGCTGCTTACCTTCCAGCTAATTATTCCAGTTAGGACTTCATCTGGTCTGAGGTTCTCCCACTTCTGAGGATCCAAAGTGTCTGTGCCTTCCCTATTAGGAGAATCTTCTTACTTTTCTGAAAAATGCATTCCCACCCTGCTTGCTGTTTCTTGTGGTTTCCATAGTTAAGGCGGGGGGGAGGGAAGGGGAAGAAAACTGGCAGTAGTCTTAAACATCTGATTCTGAGCCACATCTATCCCATTTTAGAGAAAATTAAATTTTTTACATTTGAGCTCAGACCAGAATTTGCAGACTAGTTACTAAGTACAAGACCTCAGCACAATCTGGGCTTTGTTCACCTCCAGAATCTATGAGACATTGGAGGAATAGTGAGTTGGAGTACTTTTTCTTTACCAGACCTCCTTATCTATCATCTCTTTTGCCTCATGAGCATATAACGTCAAATTAAGCACCATGTAACTTGAGGATGATGTCTAGCAGTTTTGAAACTGGTTCAGGTCAAGGCACTATCAACCTTATGAAGAACAGGTAGAGATTCCCTGGGTGATCATGTTGCTACATGCCAAATAATTAAACATGTGATTTTGGGTTTCCCTAGGCTATGCATGGAAACCAGACTCATTTTACAGATGTATGTTGGCAAAAGATATTGTCACTAGTTAGGCCCCTGATTAACCCCAGAAACCATCTTCCTCATTAGGTATAATCATTAGGGTTGACACAGCCTGATCATTCACCAAATGGAATCTACCATGAAGCTTTTGAGTGCCTTGGTATTACATTTGAATTTGGAATTGACTAAGCCTTAAGCTTTCCAAGGCTCACAAAATAAACTATGAAATGTATCACTTAGACCTCTCCAGGTGTCATGGACCAGGAGTCTTATTTGCCACCTTTAAAACACAGTTCCCTTCTTGGTCCACTGTGAGATTGTTCAGCTGGAGCAATCTGAAGGGTGGCCTGTCAATCACACACAAAGGAAAGACTGAAGATTATTTTAAGTATGATGGTTTATTTTACTTGGAGGTTTTGATCCACTAAGTTCATTAAAAATCCTCATATATTTTTAAATTTATTTAAAATTCAGATTCTCTATTTCTCATTTTATCGCCACTTTAATTAGGCATAACAGATTGAAATTAGGTATCATAGAATAACTTTGCATGTTGAGACTAACAATACTGCAATTTATTCCACGTGATGATTCATCCCCTCCCTCAATACTTGTCTGAGTCACAGGCATAAATGAATATGCAAAGAACAGACCTTCGTACTTCTGGATTTTCAGATTCTGAAATAAGAAAATCAGTCATCGGTTTCTGAAACTTGTGAACTAACCCTAAGTGCAGAAATCTTCACTTTGTGCCTAATGACTGAAAAGCAGGTTCTGATGTGCTTCTTCAGAAGCACTTCATAAAATAACTGGTGCATATAAAAAATTAAATAAAAGGGTAAAATATGCCATAAACTATTTGCATATGATAATTTCATGAAACATTTGCCTTGAGATATACCTGAGTAAAATTAATTCACAATCAGTAGAAACCCAGTGGGAATTAAATAACTCAAAATTATTCTTGGGCTGTGAAGTTTGCTGCCTTAACGGAAGTGTGTATCAAACATAAGTACATTAGCATTGGCTGTGGTTTGGGGGAGTCAGGCACATCCTTCACCTCATGTTTTTCATCCATTCTGCTGTTTATATTTTTTGGCAATGGGTTCAAACCACAGGGGGTTTGTTCCAGTATTGCGTGTGTGTGTGTGTGTGTGTGTGTGTATCTGTGTGCATTGTGATGGGCATAGCACCTTTTCAAGGGGAGTCTCCAAGGTGTGGTTGAATTATTGAAAGCTGCATAAGAGTTTGCTAATTTAAAAAATTACTTTAAAACTTAATTCTGTTATAGGCAAAGAGCAATGAGCATTCTCAGTCAAAGAAATAAAGACTGTTTCTTCGCACTCAGAATTCTCAGGGCTGACTACCACTCCACTCCTGTTCAGCTTTCTGCTGTCACCTCCCAACACTGCTTGGTGGTTGTTGCTGCAATGTTGCTGTAAATGTTTAAATGAAATAATGCACTGTAAATTCTTAGTTCCTGGCATATATTGGTGTCAAAAGACGTTAGTCATTGTCAATAAAGTTTTGCCAGCATCAGGAAAATCTGGGCAGGGTAAGGCACTGGTTACTTTTGGGTCATCCTTGGGAGAACTTTGGTGAAGGATAAGCTGAAGCTGATTACTAAAATAACAACACATTAGTCGTAGCTTTGATCATGAAGATCAGCAATAATTCTGTTTTTTTCTGATGCATATGAGATGTCACAGTGGCAGCAAACATATTAATCTTGTTCTTACTTAAGAGCAAATATTCACTGTCCCCAACCATGAAAGGTGCATAATTACTTATCAGTTACTTACTTTCCCATGTGTGGGCAATTCAGATAATATCTTCAGGATTTGCACTTCTGTAGATAAGGAAGAGTGAGCTGGGTAGTTTTTGGGTTGGAACTGAATTTTTATGCAGAACAGAGAATACTGGGAGTTAGAAGAGAAAGATAGTGATGATAATTTGTATATATTTCTAAGATTTCTATTCAGTTATGGTCATTTCTATTCAGTCATGGTCATTTGTATTGCTAGCTGTGATAAACCTATGTGTAGGCATGTCTTGTTTATATAAACATCTTGTGCCTGGTGTTGGGCTACAAATAACTTGACAGACATTGTTTTGCAATGGTGTCGCAGCTTTGAAGAGGCAGAAGCAGGATTTGAACCTAGGTCTGTCTGGATTCCAGAGCCAGTATATGTAACCATGATGCACTTCTTTCCTCATATTCTTTTCGGGCTGCATAATTCTCCTTGCAGAAATCTTTCACCTTGTTCGACCTTTTCCCCTTCAAGACTTCCTTCAATGTCCATTCTTTTATATATATATACATATATAAAAGTGTATATATACACTTAAGTATGTGTGTGTGTGTGTACGTGTGTGTGTGTGTGTGTGTGTGTGTGTGTGTGTGTGTGTGTACTTTAAGTTCTAGGACACATGTGCAGAACGTGCAGGTTTGTTACATAGGTATACATGTACCATGGTGGTTTGCTGCATCCATCAACCCATCATCTAGGTTTTAAGTCCTACATGCATTAGGTATTTCTCCTAATGCTATCCCTCCCTCTTCCCCCATCCATTACAGGCCCTGGTGTGCATTGTTCTACTCCCTGTGTCCATGTGTTCTCATTGTTCAACTCCCACTTATGAGTGAGAACATGCAGTGATTGGTTTTCTGTTCCTGTATTAGTTTGCTGAGAATGATGGTTTCCAGCTTTATCTATGTCCCTGCAAAGGATATGAACTCATTCTTTTTTATGGCTGCATAGTATTCCATGATATATATGTGTCACATTTTCTTTATCCAGTCTATCATTGATGGGCATTTAGGTTGGTTCCAAGGCTTTGCTACTTCAATGTCCATTCTAACCATACCTGGCCTGTATAGAAATGTTGCTGGGTAGGATTCATACCCATAGTGAGACTTATGTGGATCTTACAGCCAGATAGATAGATAGAAGGATGAATGGGTGCATGAGTGGCCACACTTATTTTTTTTAAACAAAATGGCCTAGGAGATATGTAGGAATAATGCCACATTCATAACATCTACTGACTAGTCATGGTAGATAACACATTGTTCCTTCAAGATGTCAATGCCATCAACAATAGGTAGTCCCAATAAAAGATACTGAACTAGATGAAACGAGTCTCCACAAAGACTGTAGTGGTTAACAGGATGGAGTTTGAAGCCAGAATGCCTGGGCACACAACCTATACTGATGTGTAATCTTGGGCACGTTATTATTTTTTTCTGTGCCCTCATTTCCTAATGTATAAAATGGGCATAATGATTGTACTTACCTCATAGGATTGTTGTAAGGAATATGAATATATAGACTCAGTTCCTAGCATAGAGTATGTGCTATTCAGTGTTTTCATTTTTTCTTTTTTTTTTTTTGAGACAGTCTTGCTCTGTCACCAGGCTGGAGTGCAGTGGCACAATCTCAGCTCACTGCAACCTCTGCCTAATGTTCAAGCGATTCCCCTGATTCAGCCTCCTGAGTAGTTGGGACTACAGGCGTGCACCACCACACCCAGCTAATTTTTGTATTTTTAGTAGAGATGGGCTTTCACCATATTGGCCAGAATGGTCTTAATCTCTTGACCTTGTGATCTGCCCACCTTAGCCTCCCAAAGTGCTGAGATTACAAGCGTGCACCACCGTGCCCAGCCCATATTTTCTAGTATTACTAGTAGTATGATTCCTTGTATTTCATAATTCCTCCTTCTGCTATCTGACTGTGGTCCCAGGTACCTGATACTCAATTGACATATAACTCTTGGTATATCCTTAATAGAGCTTTTGGTTTACTTTGTACCCAATTTCTCTACCATCAGCCCATAACACAAACATTCCTGAATTAGTGGATGATTTTAAAATATGTAGTAATGCGTAATTTTTCCATCCCCAAACTAAGAGTAAAAGCTTGGCTTCAAACTATCTTCAGGGCTGACAAAAGTATGAAAAGTAAAGCCAAAAAATTTTAATTAAAAAAGAAGGAAAAAAGGAAGGAAAGAGAGAAACAGAGAGAGAGGGAGTGGAAGAGGAAGGGAGGAAGGAATAAAAAAGAGAAAGAAAAAACAATGTCAGGGCAATATACTAGGGAGGCCAAAGACAGAGGAAAGCATAATGCTTGGTTAAGTTTCTATAACAATCTTTAATGTAAGATGCTCAGAAACAAGAACTATTTGTAAATGAAACTACCTGTATTTTTCCATGATGGTGCCCTCCAAGTTGGTGGAAGAGTTTGAAGGGGAAACCAACTCTCTGTGATGCAAGATGTTAGTTTTTCTTCTCGGTTATTCCTTGCAGATTCTTCCCTAAATCATAAACTTCCATTCAATCTAATCACAAGAACTGTAGATTTTATTGAATAAACCTGATTTCACAAATTTAAGGAGCTATCTGAATTTGCAGTTTGGAAATCTTGGAAGCATCAGAAAATTTATTCCAGGTGTCTTATTCTTATTGACATTCAGTTAAATTCAACACTGTGAAAAGGTTCTCTAAGGAAATTCCATAATATATTTTTTACAAATATGATTGTCCACAGTCTCAATGGATAACTACATTCAGAACAACTGTTTCACTAAATGGTTCTCTTTTCTGCTACTGTTCATAAAAAAATCTAAGCAGCAAAAATGGAAGAAAAAAATGATGAAGGAATAGTTTCTTTTTAAGACAATTGCATGACTAGACTTTACACTTAATTTCTATAAAACTACACAAAGGAGCTTTCTTAGTTCATTCATGTCTCTGTATTGTAGCTTTACTCAATCATGTAAAAAAGAAACATTGTGAATTACACAAGTGAGGGGTGGCATTGAAAATAGAACGTATCCTTTCATTAACTTACAAAAATACAATTAGTAATTATTAGTGATTTCCTGGAGAAAGTCCAGAGCTGAATTAAAAATATCACTAACCACAAAGATTTTCAATGGTCCCTTAGAGGAAAAAATACACAGTTATGAGGCTTATCTATTGTACTTGCTTTGGAAACATAAAAGGACTAATTCATAAAGCAACCACACAACATTTGTAATGTGTTTTACTTCTTTTGCATTCTCTGGGAAATGCAAAGAATGTTTCTTTTTCTAAATAAAATGCCTTATGGCATTTTGTTTAGAATGAGAATGGTTATGTCTTCATTCAGAAGTCATGGATATTCTGCCAAAAATGAGATCATTTTCTAAAAAGGCATATTTTTCAGTTTTGGCATATTCTCTTCTAATGAGCAACATGTTTATGCTGATTCCAAAAGGACGAAATCAAATCTAAAATATCTAGAATCTCTAGAGCAAATCTTACTCGTTGTGTCAAATATTATTCAGAATCATGTGATCTAAATATATTAAAATTATTTTAAATATATCTAAATATGTTTAAATTATTTTAAAAGAGGATTGTGTAATCCCATTAAAAAGTGGGCAAATGGCGTGAAGAGACATTTCTCAGAAGATATAAAAGTGGCTAACAAACATATGACAAAAAAAAATGCTCAGTATTACTAATCATTCAGGAAATGCAAATTAAAACCACAATGAGATACCACTTTGCCCCAGCCAGAATTATTAAAAAGCCAAAAAACAACAGATGTTGGTGTGGACATGTTGGAAAGGGAATGCTTATACACTGTTTATGGGACTGTAAAGGCTCCAGGTATCAAGTAGATCCTTACCTGTTGATATTTTGGACTCTTCTTCCTTGTGTCCAAGTTTAGAGAAACACATGGTATCAGCCTTCTTCTGGGTATGGAGGGGAATGAACTCTTCCTGTGAAACATATGGCTCTTTGAAGACAGGTGTGTTTTGACTGGACAGAAACAGGGTCAGCAGAGCTCTCAGCTGCATCAGGAAGAAAGAGAAGGAGGCCTCGTATGGAGAGCATTTGGAGCAGGACCCCAGAGGATTCTCCTACTTTCATTCATCTGCTTGCTATTTATGCAAAATTTCAACCTGCTTGATGGTCACTTTTATTTTCCTCTCTCTATCGCCTTTTAGAAAAGCAAGAAACTTAGTGCTGGGAAACTGCTGAATGAAATGTAAAATTCAATCAACTCCTGATTTTTCAAAATGCAGATTACCTGATTTGCTCTCTCTCCGGCATCAGGTTTTGTTGTCAGTTTATATTCTGATGTCAGCCAGCTTCCCTGATCCATCTCTCCTCTTGAAGGTGGAACACTTAATTTAAGGTTAGACCAGGAGTTGCCAGGAAGTTAAAATGCTTATCATAAAAAAAAAAAAAAAAAAAAAAAAAGGATGTGACAGGATGTTCCCCTGATGCCCTTTCACTCATTCTCATCCTGACCTCTGTGAGATGGGGTCATTTTGTTTTATGATGTTAATCCAGGAAAACCCATCATTGTGAGTCCTATGAGAGTCCATCAGTGTGAGTAAGAAAACTTCACCTCATAAATCCTTCACTCAGTAATTTGAAGGTTCCAGGACCACTGCCCACAACGCTATGTGGCGACATCATCTCCCTCCAAAAAGGAATCAGAAACACTGCTTTCCATGGTCTTGAGTATGTGAGACATTTGCAGGAAGAGACAGGGGCCTAACCCAGTGATGGTGCAGGGCAGAGGGATAGGAAAGAGAAGAGGGAAGGAGACCAGGGGGCACGGGGTGCCTGGAAGCCTGCCTGAGGCCAACTTGGTATGAAACAAAACATAAACAGATGGGAGGTTTTACACTGTCCACTGAACCTTTGGTGTATTTGGAATTTGGTAGTAGAAAGATTTTCTTTTTGGAAAAGGACTGCACCTTAATGTACCGCTAAGCATTTAGAGGCATTAACGTAAGTGCAGATATATTTTCAGCCTGGAATTTGAAACTAAATATTTGGGATTATCTGTTTTACTTGCCTTTGTGGGCAAGGAATTTAATAGTTAAAAGTTAAATCTATGCTAAGATACACTATACATATAGTAAACAAAATAAAACAGAGCATTGGGTGGTCATGGGTGAGATTCCACAGTCATAGCTGAAAAGCCAGGTATTACCTTTTGAGCAGGAGCACCTCATTGGTCAAGACACAGCCAGCGGCAAGTGAACAGGAGAGAAGAGTTAGAGACTGTGTTTGGAACAAAGGCCTTTCTGAAACTGCAAGTGTTTTCGTTTTTTTGTTTTTATTTTTGTTTTGTTTTAATTCTAGACACGAAAATTAAGGTTTCCTTAGAGTGGTTTTATAATTTTGAAAGAACGGATTGTTCTAAAGCCACACCTTGGTTACTTTCTCAGCAATCATTACAATGAGAGATTATCATCAGATGCATGTTCAGGAGACATTCTCAGATTGTAGTTAACTTGGATGACAAGAAGGGGTGGGGGCACTGGTGTCCTGGGGCAGCATACTTTAGGAGCTGAGGCACAGTCCCCTTGGGCATGCCCCCAATACGGCTGCATGCCCAGACAGAACAGACCCCTAGTGTCCCAAGCAAGGAATTTTCAGTTTCAGTTTCAGAAATGAGAAGGTAGGTCAGGGGGAGCTTAGCCATTTTTGTGTTTCTTTCTCTCTCTCTCTCTCTGTCACACACACACACATGCACACACACAAACCCCACATTCACAAATCTGCAGTTGCTTTGAGTGGGGAAAACATTTTATTTTTATCATGTAGACATGGCCAAAATATTCTGAACCCATTAAAAACTTGGAATAAGATGTAGCCTCTGTTCCAGAAGTACCTGTTCTTTTTATTCCTCCATGGAGATAACTGCATACAATGGTCCTTAAAATGATATGACTGTTTCTCCTTAGAATAATTACCTGTTTTGAGGAAAAGGAAGAAATATTACATAAGGAAAGCAGCTTCAAGATTCCTGTGTGGATTGTTATGAAAAAAAGTGCTTGAAGAGGACACATCTATTCTACGTAATAAGAGACTTCAGTTTAAGTTCCAGTTCTACCAATGCACTGGCTGTGAATGGATTTACAAAAAAAAAAAATCTTTCTTAAACTGTTTGCTTATCTATAAAGTGGGCACACCAAAGCCATTTGGCTGCTTCCCAAAATTGTCATGAGAATCAAATGTAGAGCACTATACAAGAAACATAAAAGTAAAGTACAAGTATATAAAACTATCTAGGGTGAATTACAAACAAGTCTGTGCCCAGTTATATCTTAATAATACATAAAAATTGTTGAAAAGCAAAACTGGCATTTTGCTCCACCAAAATGAGCTAAAACCTTGAATCATGCAATGTAGTTATAGGGAAACAAACTTTATATCTTAAGATAAACCTACAAAAAATTTCTTCAAACTGTGTTACTTGTCTACCACTAGTCTACAAAATAGACAAAACAAAAAACTTTTTCTGTGAGTTACTGACTGTCTAATAAAACAACTTTATTCCTGATTTTACAATCTAGATATATGATGAGCCTTGTAGGTACTAGTGTAGAAATTATGTATTTTATCATCATCATCATTATTATTATACTGTAAGTTCTGGGATACATGTGCAGAACATGCAGGTTTGTTACATAAGTATATATGTGTCATGGTGGTTTGCTGCATCCATCAACCCATCATCTAGGTTTTAATCCCCGCATGCATCAGGTATTTGTCCTAATGCTTTTCCTGCCACCCCCGACAGGCCCCAGTGTATGATATTCCCCTCCCTGTGTCCATGTGTTCTCATTGTTCAATTCCCACTTATGAGTGAGAACATGCAGTGTTTGGTTTTCTGTTCCTGTGTTAGTATGCTGAGAATTATGGTTTTCAGCTTTATCCATATCCCTTCAAAAAACATTAACTCAAATCTTTTTTATGGCTGCATAGTATTCCATGTGCCACATTTTTTTTAATCCAGTCTATCATTGATGGCCATTTGGGTTGGTTCCATGTTTTTGCTATTGTAAATAGTGCTGCAATAAACATACGTGTGCATGTGTCTTTATAATAGAATGATTTATAATTCTTTGTGTATATACTCAGTAATGGGATTACTGGATCAAATGGTATTTTTATTTCTAGATCCTTGAGGAATCACCACACTGTCTTCCACAATGGTTAAACTATTTTATACTCCCACCAACAGTATAAAAGTGTTCCTATTTTTCCATATCCTCTCCAGCATCTGTTGTTTCCTGACATTTTAATGATCACCATTCTAACTGGTGTGAGATAGTATCTCATTGTGGTTTTGATTTGCATTTCTCTAATGACCAGTGATGATGAGCTTTTTTTCATATGTTTGTTGGCCGCATAAATGTCTTCTTTTGAGAAGTGTCTGTTCACATCCTTCACCCACTTATTGATGGGGTTTTTTTTTCTTGTAAATTTGTTTAAGTTCCTTAGAGATTCTGGATGTTAGTCCTTTGTCAGATGGATAGATTGCACAAATTTCCTTCTATTCTGTAGGTTCCCTGTTCACTCTGATGCTGGTTTCTTTTGCTGTGCAGATGCTCTTTAGTTTAATTAGATCCCATTTGCCAATTTGGTTTTTGTTGCCATTGCTTTTGGTGTCTTAGTCATGAAGTCTTTGCCTATGCCTATGTCCTAATGGTATTGCCTAGGTTTTTATGATTTTAGGTTTTACATTTAAATCTTTAATTCACCTTGAGTTAATTTTTATATAAGGAAGGGGTCTAGTTTCACTTTTCTGTATATGGCTAGTAAGTGTTCTCAGCACAAATTATGAAATAGGGAATTCTTCCCCATTGCTTGTTTTTGTCAGGTTTGTTGAAGATTAGATGGTTGTAGATGTGTGGCATTATTTCTGAGGCCTCTATTCTGTTCCATTGGCCTATGTATCTGTTTTGGTACTGGTATCATGCTGCTTTTATTAGTGGAGCCTTGTAGTATGGTTTGAAGTTAGGTAGCATGATGCCTCCAGCTTTTTTCTTTTTGGTTACATATGAAATTTAAAATAGATTTTTTTTAGTTCTGTCAAGAAAGCCAGTGGTAGCTGGATGGGAATAGCATTGAATCTATAAATTACTTTGGGCAGTATGGCCATTTTCACAATATTGATTCTTCCTATCCATGAGCATGGAATGTTTTTCCATTTGTTTGTGTCCTCTCTTATTTCCTTGTAAAGTGGTTTGTAGTTCTTCAAGAGCTTGTTCACGTCCCTTGTAAGTTGTATTCCTAGGTATTTTATTCTCTTTGTAGCTGTTGTAAATGGGAGTTCACTCATGATTTGGCTCCCTGTTTGTCTATTATTGGTGTATAGGAATGTCTGTGATTTTTGCACATTGATTTTGTATCCTGAGACTTTGCCGAAGTTGCTTATCAGCATAGGCGTTTTTGGGCTGAGACAGTGGGGTCTTCTAAATATACAATCATGTCATCTGCAAACAGAGACAATTTCATTTCCTCTCTTCTTATTTGAATACCCTTTATTTCTTTCTCTTGCCTGATTGCTCTGGCCAGAACTTCCAATACTACATTGAGTAGGAGTGGTGAGAAAGGGCATCCTTGTCTTGTGCTAGTTTTGAAAGGGAATGCTTCCATCTTTTGCCCATTCAGTATGATACTGGCTGTGGGTTTGCCATAAATAGCATCATTTGAGATACGTTCCATCAATACCTAGTTTATTGAGTGTTTTTAGCATGAAGGGGTGTTGAATTTTGTCAAAGGCCTTGTCTGCATCTATTGAGATAATCATGTGTTTTTTGTTATTGGTTCTATTTATGTGATGGATTATGCTTAATGATTTGCATATGTTGAACCAGCCTTGCATCCCAGGGATGAAGCCAACTTGATCGTGGTGGAGAAGCTTTTTGTATTGCTGGATTTGGTTTGCCAGTATTTTATTGAGGATTTTCACATCAATGTTCATCAGGGATATTGGCCTGGAATTTTCTTTTTTTGTTATGCCTCCGCCAGGTTTTGTTATCAGAATAATGCTGGCTCCATAAAATGAGTTAAGGAGGAATCCCTCTTTTTCTATTGTTTGGAATAGTTTCAGAAGGAATGGTACCAGCTCCTCTTTTTTGTCTTTGGTAGAATTTGACTGTGAATCCATCTGGTCCTGGGCTTTTTTTGGTTGGTAGACTATAATTACTGCCTCAATTCAGAACTTGTTATTAGTCAATTGAGGGATTCCACTTCTTCCTGGTTTAGTCTTGGGAGGGTATATGTGTCCCAGAATTTATCCATTTCTTCTAGATTTTCTAGTTTATTTGCATAGAGGTGTTCATAGTATTCTCTGGTGGTAGTTTGTATTTCTGTGGGGTCAGTGGTGATATCCCTTATATAATTTTTTATTGTGTCTATTTGATTCTTCTCTATTTTCTTCTTTATTAGTTTGGCTAATGGTCTATCTACCTTTTTAATCTTTTCAAAAAAACCAGCTCCTGGATTCATTAATTTTTTGAATGGTTTTTCATGTCTCTGTCCACTTCAGTTCTGCTCTGATCTTAGTTATTTCTTGTTAGCTTCTGCATTTGTTTGCTCTTGCTTCTCTATTTCTTTTAATTGTTATGTTAGTTTGTCGATTTTAGATCTATGTATTCTTTTAATTCAGTGATCCAGTCCTTGAGAAATGTTCCAAGGTGGGGTAAGGAAGGCAGTCTTTGTGTCCTCTGCACTGACCACCACCACAGGTAGGCTTCTTCCAGGGAGCAGGCATGGTTCAAGGTAAAGCAGCTCCCTTCTGTGGAGAAAAATCCCCAACGAGAGACACAGCCATGGGGCATCAGCAGGCAAGGCTTCTGGCAGCTGAGCGAACTTGTGCTTTAGTGTTGGAGTGGGATTCCAGAGGCACATAACAGTGACCACAGTAAACAGTTCCCCAAAAGTTGGATTACTGATGAAAGTATGAGTTTATATTGCAGTATAGGTTAGCAAATTGTTTTCAAAATGTTGTATAATGTGCACTTCCATCAGCAACATATGAGAATGTCTGTTTCCCTCAATACTCCCAATACTTGGTATTATTACTTTTCCAAATATTTAACAATTACACACTCTTCTTATTTTAAGCATTTCCCTGATTAAGACTAACGTTGAATATCTCTTTATTGGTGATACTTACTTCTGCCTTGGTAATATTTTTGTGTATGTATGTGTATGCCCTGTACTCATTTTTCTGTTGTGTTGTTTCTTTGTATACAAATGCCATTAATTCATTGTGAAGTGTTGTGGGAGAGTCTCTTAAAATCTGTTCTCCATTTTGTTGCCTGGGCACATGGCTAGAGCACAGTCCCATCTCTTTTGCAGTTACATGTGATTATATAACTAAGTTCTGAACAGTGGGTTTTCAGCAGAAATGCCTTTGTTATGCCTCCTATTTGCCTTTTATCCTCTTCTTCAGTGGACCCAGTTATGGCTATGGTGGAGCTTTGAGGTAGCAGGAGACTGGATCCCCGAATCACCATGTCGGGTAGCTGTCTGCAAACTGTGAACCCCTACTCTGGACTATTAGATGAACAAACAGACCTCTGTTATATTTGAGTTACCGTACATTTTTGGAATGTACTATTTGTTTTAGCAGTTTAGCCCACCCTAATACAGCTGTATTGTCTAATTTATTCTTAGTCCATCATATGTATTTGACCACATATCATGATGTCTTTAAAGGCTGCTTAGAGAAAAATGCACATGCAAAGGGATTTGAAAAGGGAGGCCAAAGAAGCAGGAGGGACAATAGGATATGCAACATTGTGGAAGCCAAAGAAAAAAGTATTTCAAGAAACAAGCCACGATCAGTCATGTATCATACTGTTGAGAGGCTAGGCAGAGGCTAACAAGTTCTTGATGACTGGTTCAGTGCAAAGAAACCTCTGGAGTCAGGATTCCATGACAGAAGTATTAGAAAGATTTCTTGTGATGAAGGCACCTTAATATCTAAAAAGTGAATGATCTACTAAATGTCTGTCTTCTGCCAATGAACGTGCCAAACCTGTAAACAGTCTGGAAGTTGCCCACCCATGCCCTTGAATGCAGTAAGAGCACTGTTCAGTCTGAAGTGTTGATCCATACATCTCTGCAGGCCTAGACATCTGGGCGATTCCAGCTCAGCCCACTAGAATTCATCTGCAGGCAGGTCCTATGAACCACCATTAATACTCTTAGAAAGCCACGCTGGCCATTCACACCTGAACGGACGGTACCCTTCACAGAAGTCACAACATTCATGAGTAGCAAGTTCTTACCTACTACTCCCTGCTGTCTGAATGTGATATATCAACTTTCAATTTTTCACCTATACTTTATTAACTCTCATTTTCTCAGATGAGACTCTGAAAATTACTACTAGGGACAGAACATTCTGGGTTACTGAATCTCAGGACACAAATAAACTCTCTCACTTACAAGAAAAAAAAGCATGGTAAAATTTTATTGCACATCCCAGTTAAGGAGTTAAAATTAGAAAAAATATATTTTGTCATTTTCTTCCTCTCTCCCAGGCTGGAGTGCAGTGGTGCAATCCTCAACCTCTCGGCCTCAGGGGATTCCCTCATCTCAGCCTCCCGAGGAGCTGGGACAATGGGCACACACCATCACACCTAGCTAATTTTTGTATTTTTAATAGACACAAGGTGTTGCCATATTGCCCAGGCTGTTCTTGAACTCCTGAACTCAAGCAATCCACCCACCTTCGCCTACCAGAGTGTTGAGATTACAGGCGTGAGCCACTGCACCTGACAGAGAAAATTAATCTTTTAAATTAAATGACCATGGAGACAATTTATCCACCATAAAAGTGAGAAATGAAAAGAGATTCAGACATTCAAAAGACATCAATACATATGCTTATTAAAAGTATATGGTATTGTGCTTTAAAAACCTGAAACTGAAGGTGACTTTTATAATTACCTATGACATGTGAAGTCAGTTATCCTTAATACATTCAGAATGACACATTACGAATGAATAGATATTAGAGCTTTCTGCTCTGCTGCTTATAGAAACATCTGATGAAGGACAAGCACTTGGATATGTCACCTATGTCTTAAGAAAAAATAATGAAAAGACAATAGGAAAAGGTAGAGTTATTCTATGCTTCATGTTTTTAGTAATTCTGAGCATGAAATTATTTTTTGAAGAAAATTTCATGTTTCTTAATTCAAAATATGTAACAAGTTTCACCTACAGAGTTTTAAGAAGCTTCAGTCTTACTTGATTCAAAATGCTTATTAGTTCCTGGCAATTAAACAGCATACACGCTATCCATTTTAAGGTAATTTATCTCTAGTTTCTTCATAGGAAATTATTTAGAAAGCCAAATGGAATTTAGCAGTAGAAATGGAAATAGGGTCTATTCTTTTACTTCTGCCTTCCCATTATATAGTATTAAGGTTTTAAGGCATTTCTTTCATAATCAGTTTTATAAATTACTCCTATTAATTAGCAAAGAAACTAAGGGAATATTCACATTCTGAACAACAGAAATTATCCAGAATTCCAAGACACTAATTTATTCCATAGAATTTTGAATGGATTACGTATGAAGTTGTTTTGTTTTTGCATCTACAGAATGAAAACACAGAGATCCTTAATGTTATCAAGGATATCTTCAATGTGTAAAAAAAATTATTTATTTATCTTTTCAGATTTTATTGCTGTCCTGCATATTTAAGTAGACCTTTGTGTCTGCTGAGTAGAATGTCATGGAAGGGGAACCCATGATAGCCTGCTGAGTCTAGATCTGACACACATATTACATTGGCAAATAAATACCATCCTCAGAAATCCATTGCACTTAGTCTCTCCTTCTCTTGCAGTGATTGTCACAGTCTACTTTGTTTTCTTGTTACTGCTGAATGTTTTTCTACTTCTCTGGAACATAAGTTCTTCCAGACAAACCTGTTTTTTAGTCTTCACTGCATCCCCTCAGTGCCCTGCATGTAGTTGGCTCTCAGCACAATTTTGATGAATAAATGACTTCCAAGTGATCTAAAGCATGTTCCACTTGGCTTTCTTAAAAAAAGTTAACCCAGCCGGGCGTGGTGGCTCACACCTGTAATCCCAGCACTTTGGAAGGCCGAGACAGGTAGATCACAAGGTCAGGGTAGATCACGAGACCAGCCTGGCCAGCATGGTGATAACCCGTCTCTGCTAAAAATACAAAAAATTAGCCGAGCATGGTGGCACATGCCTGTAGTCCCAGCTACTCAGGAGGCTGAGGCAGAAGAATTGCTTGAACCCAACAAGCAGAGGCTGCAGTGAGCCGTGATCGCACCATCACACTCCAGCCTGGGTGACAGACACTCCATCTCAAAAACAACAACAACAACAACAAAAAAAAAACAGACAAAATAGTTTTGTATATGAATGATTTCCCTAACAGATGTAGTAAAACGCTGCTCCCAGCCCTAATTAATTAGACTAGGAGCAAGGCAGAAAACCCTGGTAAATAATTAGGCATTATTAGCTTTGTCATCACAGTGGAGGGCAGTTTACTTAGGACGGTACAGAAACCTAACTCATGGAGCTGATTATTGGTCAATACATTTCGACATTGGTCTTTAGAAAAATCATAATCAGACTTGCACAGTATGCAGAACTACTCTTCATGATTTGTGGTATTTTCTCTAAATACTTTGCTAAAATATTACTGGTGTTATACACACACAAAATAAAAGTGCAGTATTTTTTAATTTAATATAATTCCTTCACATTTTTCTACTCTTTTCTTGGTCAAAATATATCTCTGTCTCTATCTGTATCTCCACATATTTGACTTTGTAAGCTCTCTTCCATGCCCAAATCTGGCATATTTCTGTGTACTTCCCGAGGGCCCTCTATAAATATTGCAACTAGTTGATTAACTATGCAAGAAGGCTTCCCAGATGTTGCTAGTCTGAAATTTTACTCCCCTTATGCCTTAAATGCTCATTGTAACACCACTTTTTGTGGAATAGAATCATGTGCGATGATGTCTTGAGAGACAACTACTATAAGGTTCTTTCTAGCACTTGTATAAATAAACGCCATTGGCTGAGTGATATTGTTTGGCTCTGTGTCCCCACCTAAATCTCATCTCAAATTATAATCCCCATGTGTCAAAGGAGCAACCTGTAATCTCCATGTGATTGAATCACAAGGGAGGTGATTGAATCACTGGGGCGTTTTCTCCCATGCTGTTCTCCTGAGAAAGAGTGAGTTCTCATAAGATCAGATGGTTTTATAAGAGGCTCTTCCTCCTTCACTTTCTCCTTTCTCTCCTGCCACCACGTAAGATGTGCCTGCTTCTCCTTCCACCGTGACTGTAAGTTTCCTGAGGCCTCCGCAGCCATGCAGAACGTGTCAATGACACCCATTTCCTTTATAAATTACCCAGTCTTGGGACTATTTTTATAGCAGTGTGAAAGCAGTTTAACGCAATGTCTTCTAATAAAAATGTTGCCATTTTACTTCATGACAAATTATGGTATAGTAAGGCTTTGGTTCTTTCATCATAAAATAATTGGGATTCTTTCTGTTTGACTGAAAAACGTTGTGTTGATAGCCTTAAAACTATTTTTCTTCAGTTGCATTTATTATATTTATAAGTTGTAAGGACATTTCATGGAATTCCAGGCTATATTAATTTAGAGGTGAGCCTCTGGGAAGATAATTGGTCACCAGTGGCAGTGAACCATTCCTTTGTGCATCTTTAACAGCTCAAAAGCTTATAGTTTCAGGCCTGAATGGAAGCTTGAAGGTAGAGTCACACCACCTGCTGCTTGAATAATCCAGTTTTCACTTGACAGTCCCAACTTTCAAATATTTAAAGACATCATCATATCACGCCTCTTCTCCCCAAAAACTCCAGATCAGACTAAGCTAAAATTAAGTTAGAAGATTTTCCTCATGTGATATAGTTTTAAACCTCCTCACCCATCTGAGTTACTGTCTTGGAGTTGGATTTGAATGCTAGCCGCATTAATTTATTATGTATGTAAAGCTGGACATGTTTTAAAAAACATTTTGAACTTCAGCATTTTTTAACCTGTAAAATGGGGATAATAATAATAATAATACTTATAGAGCTGTCAGGATGATTAACTGAAATAATCAATGCACATGGCTGGTGCTTAGTAAGTATTCACTTCCTTCTCATTTTTAAAGTGATTTGTGGAATGGTCATATTCCATGAAGAAAGGTGTTGTGATTAAATTAGTCAGAAAAATAAATAGGGTTAAGCAAAGTTACTTAGATTTTCTAATTACATGGTTTTCAGAGCCTTTAACAGGTTGACATGCTTTGTGAATCTCCAAATAAATATGGTTTGAAGCATTTCCCAAGTTTATTTGACCACAAAACCCTTTTTGAGTAGTACACAGAATAACATCTTGTGTTTTTCTGAATATGATGTGAGAAAGGTTGTCCTAGTGGGATCTTTGGATGCGTTGCTTTGCCCTCTGGGCATGTCTGGAAGTATGATTGTCCCTCTGGGTCCTAGGAGTAGCCCATGCAGGGAAATTTATTCTGTGCAAACACAAAGAGGGAAAATATTTTCCCTCTGCTTCAAGTAAGAAAATAGAGTCAGCAATGAGCTAAGGGCTTAGGTCTTTTTGTTTCATCTATGATGTTGAGGTACAGTCCTCAGGTTTGCGAAACTCTGAGGAATTACTGTAATGAAAATACTATGAGAAATAAATTCCTAGGAAGGAGGAAAAACTGAAGATATTATATGGTGGGCTAGGCAGAATGCAGCACGCTGTCCCCTTGCATGAAATTAAATATTTTTGTTTATATGATGGAAAATCTGTGCTGATTCATTCTCATTAAGGCTTTACCAAGTTCATCAGAAAAAGTTTATAGAGACTTTGGGGAAAACTCAACAGGGGGGAATTTCCTGTTGGGGGCTGGAGGTGGGGAGCCAGTATTTTCCCTTTATTGGGGTTTGCTTTGTTAATTGGTGTTTGAAGAAACCCCATTTCTTTCATAGTTGAAGCTAAGCAGAATTAATGTTAATTAAAAAATCATGTTAGCATTCCCAGAGCACATTCAAGCCATTAGTTGGGAAAAGGCTTGTCTAAAACACTTCTCTCATGGCTTCGTTTGCATGGGGAACTGACGGGTGGGAAGTTTCACCAGGACAAGAGAGGGAGCTGACAGTTTATTTCTGGAACATAGAAGGATGTGTTTCAAAAGACATTCAAAATAAAGAACACACCAAAATGTACCAAAAGTGGTTTGGTTTTCTGTTTTTTTAAAGCAAGGATGGAGCCATGCTTGAAACCTGTAAAACAGGATGCTTTACCCAAATGTGAGTTGGGGTGGAAATGCGTGGGGAAGCGTTGAGCCTGAGCCTGTGATTGTCAGTATTCTATAGAATGGTTTTTAAACTTTGCTATTTGAAGCAGACTATCTTTTTACTTGCTTGTATAAATCTGTACTGGGGTCTTTCCATTTCATCTTCTTTAAGGACTATTTTACTTCACACACAGAGGACCTCAATAAATAGATACATTGCCATCAAATCCCTGAGGTCTGTGTATTTCCCTTGGGTATAATTAACTTTAGTAGCTCACTAGACCTAAACAACCACCTCAGACAGTACAGTGGGGGAAAAGCAAAATCCTGAATATATTTTTCTGTGGGTTCTGGAGCCCACTGATTATTTTTGTTAAGGTATGAGTTACATGTTATAGAATAAGAATGTCTAATATTGAGTTACATTTAGGTAGAAGTCAACTGTCACTAACAGCCATTCTGAAATGTGAAATGACTTTCCAACTCAATGAAAATAATCATTTGATTGTTTATCCATTGATGTATTCCTCGTTTCTTTTTAAAAACATCTGAAGAGGCTTATAACGAAGATTATATAGAAAATCAGTTTGATAGTGTAAACCTAGAAAATTGCAAATGGGATCTGTAGAAAGATGTGGTAGCAAATCTGCTAACCTGGCAGGCTAGTGCGGCTGCTCCAACTGAGTGTCCATTTTGATTCTGGGCTTCCTGAAAGGCAGAATTAAAAGGGAAACATTCTTGAATTATTTCCATTAGAATTGAAGAAACACAAACAAATTCTTATTTGAATGCAAGTTTTTCTAGCACTAAATTCTAAAGAAAAGAAATTTTGTCACACGTGCTTTTATAAGCACGTGATTTCTCTTTTAAAAAAATATTTTTTAGGCACACAAATGATTTATGAATACATTTAAACAACACAGAAGTATATAGATTAAAAAGTTCAGGTTCTCCTTCATCCTTGCAACTTCACCCTTTCACTAAAAGTCTGGTGTGTGACATCTCTGAACTTTTTCTAAGACCCCCTTCATTTCCTACCACTTGCCCCATGTGTACCAAATACAGCATATACAGGGATCATATATATGGATTATTCTTCAGCTTACTTTTATTTATTTATCTATGCCTCGATGATCATTCATATCAATATAAATAGTGCTATTTTGTTTTGTAAAACTACTATGTGAATATTCTAAGATTTATATTCTCATATGTTTGAGTTGTATGCAATTTTTCCTCATTTGTTTGTTTGTTTATTTTTTGAGACAGGGTTTGCTCTGTTGCCCAGGCTTGAGTTCAGTGGCATGAACACAGCTCACTGCAGCCTTGGCCTCTGGGGCTCAAGTGGTCCTCCCACCTCAGCCTCCCAAGCAGCTAAGGGTGGCTAACTTTTAAATTTTTTGTAGAGACCAAGATCTCACCATGTTTCTCAGAATGGTCTTGAACTCCTGGGCTCAAGTGATTCTCCCACCTTGGCCTCCCAAAGTGCTGGGATTGCAGATATGAGCCACAGTAACTGGCCACAATTTTCAAATATTACAAACAATGCTATAATAAACATCTTGTGCATGTGTTTAAAAATTTTTGTCTAGTGGATATAATAGACAGAAGTCAGAAAACTGGGTCAGAGGGCATATGCATAACAAAAATGACAAAGGGAGACCTTGTGATTAAGGGCAATGAGTTCTCAAAATCAGTAACTCTCAAATTCTTGGTATGAGTGTGTTACTATAGGTGCTCATGATCCTTGAAGAACATTCTTACCTACTGTTGATGATAATTCTATCATAGGAACACGCCTCCTGTCATACCACGTGACATCTGACTTAAGCAATATAATGAAGAATCACAATTTCACATCTCAAAGAAGCCAGCCTGGCACACCAGGATCAGCTGCTCCTAAGGATGTTTGTTTTCAATATCTTGTGACTTGTTCATTTTGTTCTTGACTATCAGCATTTATGAGCAGATAAATAACACCTGTAAATAAATAAAAAAGTACTTGAGTTTTTTTATTATTATTATTTAGAGTGAAAAGAGATCTGTTGCTGGATTTTAGAAGTTGAAAAATCTAAGTTTGGCATGTTGCAAAGGAAAATTGTTTGAGAAACACTGCTCTAGATTAAGTCAATGGCAAAAATAAGAAATGAGTTGTTATATATAATACCACCACTGAAAGACCCATATTAAATTTTTAGCCAGTATTCCTTCAAAAAGATATGATGTCCAAAAGGACTTTATAACAAATTTTAGGTGAATTCCAGGCTGATAATATTTTTAAGCTTTTCTAACTTATTTATATAGTTCTGAAATTTACTTCCTGCTTCCAAATCAGTTCATTTGAATATACACTATCAGATTTTTCTTCTGTTTGAAAAAACTCACGTCTTTAGCTGATATTTCTGACTTTTTTTTAATATTGTCTGAGAAGCAGAATGACTTCTTCCAGACAGGGATATAAACAATTCTAAAGCAATACTGAATAAACAGAGAGCTGCGGAAGCAGACTATAGTGTGTTTAAAAATTCCAAGGTTGTTCCTGGTACAACATGAGCATAAAGGAAACAGAACTTCAGTCTTAAGGTAAACACTTGCATCTATCAAATGCATACATCTTATCCTCTGTGAATTTGATGTCTTCTGAAAGGGAAGATTTAAAGTAAGTTGTATTGTGCAGAAGGCTTTGAGATTTAAGGCACTCAACAATTCCACTGATCTAGTGCCCCTTTATCAGCCCCCTTTTACTTGCTTCCTAGATTAGCCTCATTCATTAATTATTCTGGTCATACTTTAAGTAAAAGAGGAGAAAATGCAATGGCAGCCAATCACTTCAGAACTATAGACTTTACAAAAGAGACAAATGATGAGTACCCCCAACAAGCATGTTTATTTACAATATCCATAACTATAGAATACCCACAAAAATATGCCTTTGGTCTTTATGTTTTCTAAGTGGGCATTCAGTTGATTATTAGATGCTTTTAAGGATGTTAATATGTATGAACACTTCCGTCTTCCTTTACCCTATTCATATGTCCACATGATATTTTCAGAGATTCTGACTTGGGAGATCTGAGGTGGGGAAATTCTGATGAAGGGTCACTGTCTTAGAGAGTACCTTCATTCTCAGATCTCTCATTTCTTATAGAAATCATATTCCTCATCTGGCCAGTCTTGTAATACCAGAATCTAGTGATGATCACCAAGAATGAACAAGAGAGAGCTGTGTCACTAAATCCCTCTCTTCCCAGTTTTCCTTGGATTTGCACTCTCACTTGATAATTTGAACCCTATGGCATGGCATTGCATTCCTGAAAACTGACTTTCATATCTGTATGCTGTTATTAATATTATGTATTTCTGGGCACAATGGTACATGCTTGTAGTCCAAGCTACTTGTGAGGCTGAGGGGGAATGATTGCTTGAGCCCAGGAATTCAAGGCCAGCCTGAGCAAAGTTGTAAGACCCTGTCTCTTTTTTTTTTTATTTTTAATTTTACATTAGGTGTATACTATATCCAGCATTTCTCCCCATGTTATCCCTCCCCACCCTCCCCACCCCCTGCTTACCCTCCCCTACCCCCCCTCAACTGCCCCCAGTGTGTGATGTTCCTCTCCGTGAGTCCACGGGTTCTCATTGTTCCACACCCACCTATGAGTGAGAACATGCAGTGTTTGGTTTTCTGTTCTTGTGTCAGTTTGTACAGAATGCTGGCTTCCAGATTCATTCAAGTCTCTACATAGGACACGAACTCATTTTTTATGGCTGCATAGTATTCCATGGTGTATATGTACCACATTTTCTCTGCCCAGTCTATCATTGATGGGCATTTGGGTTGGTTCCAGGTCTTTGCTATGGTACACAGGGCTGCAATGAACATACGTGTGCCTTTATAGCAGAACGATTTATAGTTCTTTGGGTATATACCTAATAATGGGATTGCTGGGTCAAATGGAATTTCTATTTCTAGATCCTTAAGAAATTGCCACACTGTCTTCCACAATGGTTGAACTAATTTACACTCCCACCAACTGTGTAGGAGTGTTCCTATTTCTCCACATCCTCTCCAGCATCTGTTGTACCCAGATTTTTTAATGATCGCCATTCTAACTGGCGTGAGATGGTATCACAATGTGGTTTTAATTTGCATTTCTCTAATGACTAGTGATGATGAGCATTTTTTCATATGTTTGTTGGCCTCATATATGTCTTCTTTTGAAAAGTGTCTGTTCATATCCTTTGCCCACTTTTGAATGGGGTTGTTTGTTTTTTTTCTTGTATATTTGTTTTAGTTCTTTGTAGATCCTGGGTATTAGCCCTTTGTCAGATGGGTAGATTGCAAAAACTTTTTGCCATTCTCTTGGTTGCTGGTTCACTCTAATGATGGTTTCTTTTGCTGTACAGAAGCTCTGAATTTTAATTAGATCCCATATGTCTATCTCAGTTTTTGTTGCCATTGCTTTTGGTGTTTTAGTCATGAAGTCCTTGCCTATGACTATGCCCTGGATGGTTTTGCCTACATTTTCTTCTACTGTTTTTATGGTGTTAGGTTTTATGTTTAAATCTTTAATCCATCTGGAGTTAATTTTAGGGTAAGGTGTCAGGAAGGAGTCCAGTTTCTTTCTTCACATTGCTAGCCAGTTTTCCCAACACCATTTATTAAACATGGAGTCATTTCCCTACTGCTTGTTTTTGTGAGGTTTGTCAAAGATCAGATGGTTGTAGATGTATGGTGTTGCTTCTGGGGCCTCTGTTCTGTTCCATTGATCTATGTCTCTGTTTTGGTACCAGTATCATGTTCTTTTGATTACTGTAGCCTTGTAATATAGTTTGAAGTCCAGCAGTGTGATGCCTCCGACTTTGTTCTTTTTGCTTAGGATTGTCTTGGGTATGCAGGCTCTCTTGTGATTCCATATGAAGTTTAAAGTGGCTTTTTCCAGTTCTGTGAAGAAGGTCATTGGTAGCTTGATGGGGATAGCATTTAATCTATAGATTACTTTGGGCAGTATGGCCATTTTCATGATATTAATTCTTCCTAACCATAAGCATGGAATGTTTTTCCATCTGTTTGTGTTCTTATTTCCTTGAGCAGTGGTTTGTAGTTCTCCTTGAAGAGGTCCTTTACATCATTTGTTAGTTGTATTCTTAGGTATTTTATTCTCTTTGTAGCAATTGTGAATGGGAGTTTGCCCTTGATTTGGCTCTCTGTTTGTCTGTTACTCGTATATAGGAATTCTTGTGATTTCTGTACATTAATTTTATATCCTGAGACTTTGCTGAAGTTGCTTATCAGTTTGAGAAGGTTTTGGGCTGAGACAATGGAGTTTTCCAGATATACTATCATGTCATCTGCAAATAGAGACTTCCTCCTTTCCTATTTGAATACTCTTTATTTCTTTTTCTTGCCTGATTGCTGTGGCTAGAATTTCCAATACAATATTGAATAGGAGTGATGAGAGAGGGCATCCTTGTCTAGTGCCTGATTTCAAAGGGAGTTCTTCCAGCTTTTGCCCATTCAGTATGATGTTGGCTGTAGGTTTACCATAAATGGCTTTTATCATTTTATGATACGTTTTGTCTATACCTAGTTTATTGAGAATTTTTGCCATGAAGTGCTGTTGAATTTTGTCAAAGGCCTTCTCTGCATCTATTGAGATAATCATGTGGTTTTTGTCTTTGGTTCCGTTTATGTGATGGATTACATTTATGGATTTGTGTATGTTGAACCAGCCTTGCATCCCTGGGATGAAGCCTACTTGATTGTGATGGATAAGCTTTTTGATGCGCTGTTGCAATTGGTTTGCCAGTATTTTATTGAAGATTTTTCCATCAATGTTCATCATGGATATTGGCCTGAAGTTTTCTTTTTTAGTTGAGTCTCTGCCTGGTTTTGGTATCAATCAGGATGATGTTGGTCTCATAAAATGAGTTAGGGAGGATTCCCTCCTTTTGTATCATTTGATACAGTTTTAGAAGGAATGGTGCCAGCTCCTCTTTCTATGTCTGGTAGAATTTGCCTGTGAACCCGTCTGGACCTGGATGTTTTTTTGTTTGATAGGCTACTGATTGCTGCCTCTGCTTCAGCCCTTGTTATAGGTCTATACAGAGTTTCAACTTCCTCCTGGTTTAGTCTTGGTAGAGTACAAGTGTCCAGGAATGTATCCATTTCTTCCTGGTTTACTGGTTTATGTGCATAGAGCTATTTTTAGTAATCTCTGATGGTAGTTTGTATTTCTGTGGGATCCATGGTGATATCCCCTTTATCTTTTTTTTTTTTCATCTGTTTGATTTTTCACTCCTTTTTTATTAGTCTGGCTAGTGGTCTATTTTGTTGATCTTTTGAAAAAACGAGCTCCTGGATTTACTGATTTTTTGAAGGGTTTTTTGTGTCTCTATCTCCTTCATTTTGGCTCCTATCTTAGTTGTTTCTTGTCTTCTGCTAGCTTTTGAGTTTTTTTGATCTTCCTCCTCTAGCTCTTTCAATTTTGATGATAGGGTGTCAATTTTAGATCTTTCCTTGTTTCTCATGTGGGCATTTATTGCTATAAATTTCCCTCTTGACACTGCTTTAAAGGTGTCCTAGAGATTCCAGTAAGTTGTGTCTTCACTCTGATTGGTTTCAAAGAACATCTTTATTTCTACCTTTATTTCATTGTTTATCCAGTCGACACTCAGTAGCAAGTTGTTCAGCTTCCAAGTACTTGTGTGAGTTTGAGTGTGTTTCTTAATCCTGAGTTCTAGTGTGATTGTGCTGTGGTCTGACAGACTGTTTGTTATGATTTCTGTTCTTTTGCATTTGCTAGGGAGTGATTTGCTTCCAATGATGTGGTCAATTTTAGAGTAAGTGCAATGTGGTGCTGAGAAAAATGTATATTCTATGGATTTGGGGTGGAGCATTCTGTATATGTCTATTAGGTCCGCTTGGTCCAGCTCTGCATTCAAGTCCTGGATGTCCTTGTTAATTTTCTGTCTCATTG